TGAAATGTATATATCACACAAGATTTCACCTGTGACAAGTCATGCGTGTATTATGTATTTAAAGAGTGATCTGATTATACTGGATTTTATGTATATTCTACTTGCCTCTAAAAGCAAGAATTCATAGATATTTCTTGCATTTAATTTTTTACACAACAGAGAATACAGTATAGATTATTGCTTCTGTCATTTGGCTCATAACAATATTCTCTGGAATGTTCTCTGATACCCTCTTGCTTCCCTCGAAATTCCACAGAAGTACAATCTCCTGCAGGAAGTGCCCCCTCAGAGACAGTGGCCCACAGTGATCTCATCTCACTTCCCTGAATGTCCCTTGCACTGTCCCTACCTGTTAGTTGGCTTATGCTACTTTATATTTAACATTAAAAGTTTCACATAAAGGGTCTGGTCCCCACTAAAATATAACTCTTCTCAAGGGCAATGATCTAATTTTACCTCCTTCAGCATAATCATTAACCATTTGTTATTGATGATGACTCCCAGTGGGAAAACAGTGTTGGATTTTTTTTATACTGCAGATTATTTACCTCATTCAGCTGTAACTGTAAACCATTGACTTTATCCAATAGTATTCTTTGTTCTTGCTGAATTTTTCTTAACCTCTCTTTCAAATCTTCATTTTCAATCTCCAGATCCTTAAATAATAAAGATAACAGCTGTCAGACCAATCTTAAAAGAGCAATTCTTATAGAATAAATTTTTTAAAGTAGTTCACTACCATATACAGATGCATACATATATAAAACACTTTAAGTACAAGGATACAATAATTTCAATGATACTCAATTTAAAATCTACAGATCAGAAATAACACAGAAAATTATTGTTCTATCATATCTAATAAATACAAGTATATACTACCAGAAGGCAAATGATGATTCCAATAAATAAAAAAGCATCACCTAGAAACAGAAAATAGCAGAAGAATATGATGTTTTAACTTTTGCTTAAGACCTCCCAAGTTTATGAGAATATTCTAATGCTTTTGTTAAACTAATCATCATTTCAGTGTTCCGATAAACCATTAAAGGCTTCAATTTGAGGATATAACTCACTTTCTTAACACTACATAGTAAACTAAGAAAACCCGAATAAAACGCTTTTGTTTTTATTATATTAAAAACAGCTATTCAATTTATAATTTAAAGGTGCTTCACTCATAAAATAAACTATTTAATTATGGGTTCTTCCTCTAACATGATCCACATAATAATTATTTTTTGAAAACTTTGACCAACGTAAAAGTTTTGTAAAAAGCACCATGTGATTGATTAGTTTAACAAAATTATTTTTCTTAAGCAAAATAAAATCAAAATAGTTTAAGAAAAAGTTCAGATTTCATTTTGTTTACATTAAAGACCATCACTTTTATCGCTATAATTTTGCAAAATGAACATAAATGTATGTATGGTTTATATAACAGACTCATTTAAATCAAAGAGTTGTGTAAAGTTGCTGAATTATTTGCTTTTTCTAATATACATCAAAAAATACTTCCCATACCATACTTCTAATGTAATATAATTTAATTACACAATACTGACCCAAACATTTGCAACAGAAGTAGATTCTTTAGAAGGGACTGGGCAAGAAAACAGAAGCACAAATCGTTTTAATGAGAGTCCCTTCCTTTCCCCCACTCTCTTACTTCCCCTCCTCTCCCCCTATCCCACTACAAATAACACTGGAATTCTTTTTAAAGGAAGACACCAAATATGTTTTTTTTTCTTTTTACCTGAATGTTTTGATGCTCCCTCTGATTCAACTTCATGTTTACTTCATCTTGCATGTGTGTCAAATTTCGCTTTGGTAAAACATAAGAAAACACAGGTTAGCAAGTATGAGAATATAGAAAAGTATATTTTCCTCAATAGGCCATATGCCCAGTGATTTTCAGTTTATCCAATATTAAATTTTGCTGCACAAACACAAGGTGGCAGTATTTCCACTTAGAATCCCCAAGTGGAAAGCATCTTTAAGGATATAGGTTCTAAATACATCAAATACAATTTTAAAATACTAAATGACAGAACTTAAAATACTTACAAAAGATTTATTTTAACTAAAGTCACAAATTTTTAAAAAGGAGAATTTGTACCTGACAAAACCATTCCCAAGAGAAGAATTTAGTTTAAAAACTATTTACTTCTCTGAGCACTGCTGAAATAAAATACCAAGAGGCTTGGTAAGGACGAAACTAACAATCCTCTGATCAGAGCCATGTAAAAGACCTCTAAATAATTTGGTTGGGTATACGTTCTGTTTTTCACACTTACTGATTTGAAACTTTATTCCAGCTTAGAGATTTGCTTTAACAAAAACACAACACGATTATTAAACAAGAGAAAAAATAACCTTTTTTCACCCAAATTGATCTTAAATCTGTACAGTAACTAATTTAGAAAGCTATTTCTTTCTTCCTTTCTTAGAGTTTAAAACAAGCTACTACGTTAATTCTCCCAGATAATTTTTTCATGTTTTGTATTACTTGAGTTTTGCTTAACCAAGTTTTTAAACTATCATGAGTTTGGATCTAGAATAAGAGGGACAGTTCTCATTAAAAAGATATTCTACATCCACGATTTGGCCCAACTACATTTCTAGCCTCATTCCTTCTCTAAAGGACTGTTCTTAGAGTGGAATCTGAAGTCTTCTCACATACCACTTTCCTTTCCAGCCTTCCCTTCAGAATCCTCACTCACTGCCTTCACTCTCCCCCCTACCCTACCTCAGACATACTAAGTCAACCCTGTCCCTTAAGATCCATCTTCTTGACAAAGCCTTGTTAGCACACTAAAAGAACCTCTCTTGCACCTCTGACTCCTTGTGGCAGTGATATGATCCCGTGAACCACTGATTGGGTGCTCATATCTTGCCTTCTGCTGTCTGTTAGTTACCAGTGGAAATATATCCAAAGACCTTACCACACAAGGTTCTTCTAAATCTGACACCCGGTTACTTTTGCAGTCTCTTCTCCTACTGCCTGCACCATGTGCACACCACTCCTGTCCCTGTGGCCTTCTGCTGCCCCATGGACATGTTAAATGTGCTCCCTCAGCAAGGGCTTGGTACCTGCCCTTCCCTCAGCCTGTGAGGCTTCTCCCACAGAGCCCCCACCCTCTCTTCACCCCTTAATCCTATTTTGTTTTTCTTCATAGCAACTGCCATGATATTAAATACTCATTTGCTTATTGTTCATTCCCCACACTAGGAGCTCCATGAGGGCAGGGACTTTGTATACTACAGTATCCGCAGCACTTAGGACAGTAATTGGCATATTGTAAGTGTTTAACACATATTTGTGGAACTAACAACTAAATAAGTCTTACATTTACAACTACACAAGGCTTCTTGATAACAGGGATTACATGCCCCTTAGTATAAGAACAAATTCTATTTACAGCAGATATTTACTAAGTATATTCAATAAATAATGGAAACACAGTAATTAGGAGCCAGTAGTCTTTCTGTCCCTAATAGAATATTAGCTCCTTGTATTCACTTAGATAACTGGTAGAGCACTGAACAGAGTATCCTTCCTATATTAATATTCAATAATTCTTTACTTTAAATATCTGTATATTTCAGAAATCATTTTTCTCTGATTCTATGTCAGATAGCTGGTACAGACATAAAAGTATACATTTCATGTCACTCTACTCCCACTAAGGTTATATGAGAAACAGGGGAGAAGGTTGGAACAGTTGTTCCAGATGGAAAAGTGTCAACAGACATGACCATGCATGAACATATTACTAAATTCAGATGGACTGAAAAGGAAAACAAGCTTTAATATAGCTTTCAGATTCAGGTGAGAGGCAGAGAAACGATGCAGAATGATGATCAGAATTGCTCAGAAGGTACCTGATTACTTTCTCTTCACGGTTTGGAAACGCTCAGGTTCCTCTCAATAGAGAAAAGCTGAAAGTCTGGAAGGGAACAGCCAGCAGGAGAGGAAAGCTGCCTACACTAGCTTTTGAGCCAGAGTGCTGTAAACCAACCACTTACTTCCATGTGAAGAGATTAGGGGAAAACATAAGACAAACTAGAATACAAAACCAGGGTTAAATAGTGATTTGATAATAAAAATTAGTACAAAGTATTAATTATTTCATGTATTATGCTATTTTGTAAAGTCCTCAATTAAATATACACAGAGAAAAAGAATGAAAAGAAATAAAAAGGTTAACAGTGGTACGGAAATCACAATATATAATCAGTTTTGAACTCCGTTTTCTTCATTTCTTACTGCGTTGGAACAATGTGCCCATTAACAGTAAAGATTTGGCTCTGTTATTAAGGGAGAATAAGGGAAACTATCTACGATCTGCCAGGCTAAAATTCATCACTTAACAAGGTATAACATCTAATACTTGAAAGAGTTAGATGTTGAAGGCCCTAAATAGGAGGCTATTTATTTCCCATTAGATACATTCATTGTAATTAACGTCCATTGTCTCAAACTGAGTGACAGTATCTTGATAGGACCTCACGATCTTAATACCTAGGTTCTATATAGGAATGATTAATTGAGAAGAGAGACGGAATACATTTAAACTCAGAACAGTTATACATCATCATTAACTAGTTTTACCAAGTACTTTACTTAGATGGCATAATACATATAACTTTTAAAAACTAAAGTTAAGATCTACCTGTTGCAAAGATGGTCCTTTCTTCCAAAGTTCTCTCCCTAAAGATTTAAAGAGAGAAAAAGAGAAACACAGAAACAGCAGGTTAATTTGGGTAGGTATGCATTCCCTAACTATACAATTGAGTAAATATCAAATAAATAAATTTTAACGTTTCCTCTAAAGCTTACTACTTTTTAATTTTATTTCTGAAACTTATACTTAAAACAAAAGGAAAATATCATTTTTGCCTACCAAATTAGCAAATTTTTTATAACAATATTCAGGTAGATAATATTCAATGTTAGGGAGGAGAGGCAGGTAAAAAAAAAATAAGAAATTTAAAACACTCCTAAATTGTAAGGCAATTTATCAATATACACCAAAGTCTTAAAGAAATGTGCATGCCCTGAAAACCAGTGATTCAATTTCTAGGAACTGATCATAAGAGGTAACAAAAATATACTAAAATATTTATGCATAAGTACAATTACAACATTTTAATATTAGTGAAAAACTATAAATAACTTAAACACCACCTCTAGAAAACTGCTTCATTAAATGAAATTCAAATAAATGGAATTTTATACATCAATAAAAATCACACTATAGAAAAAACATTTATTTATGAGGGAAAAGCCTTCAAAATATATCACATAAAAAAGTAAGCTACAACTCAGTATTATAGGAGACCTCAATTTTATGCATAGGGAAAAGACTGGAAGGATATTCCTCAAAATGTTAACAGAGGCTCCTCAGCAGTAGGATGAGTGACTAACTTTATTCGTTGTGCTTTTCTGTATTTTACAATTTTTCTTTATTTACCACAGAAAAATACTTGGAATAGGCATTTGCTAAGTATCAGTTGAATATTTCGTGTTTAAACAATTCTTTCTTTAAAACTTTGTAAGTATCAAAATTAGAACCTCCACCCCTCTTCATAAAAAACAATTAGTAAAACACTCGAATTGACTCTTCCTCTTCAGTTCTTAAATGATTCCACAGTATATTAGCGTTCACCTGATAAAACTAGATAATACATGCAACACACTGCCTCAAAACAAATGACTATAATGTAATAAGGAAATTCGTGGAATAGAGGGAGATGAACCAAGACTGTTTAACAGTGAGGAATGTTTTGCTTCTCACAAACTGTAGTTCTACTAACTAAGTATTTAAAAAACTTTTCTTTATCAGCGTGGACTTTTCTAGTTACAGAAAACTGCTGATACCTTTGTTGGTATTTTCCGAAGCAGTCTTCAACAAGGTTAGAATGTCCAAGTTGTCACCAATTCTTGCATAGTAAGCACTATCATGGCCGAGGGCATCCAGCAAGTTTACATCAGCACCATTTTTAATTAAGACTTCTACTGCATCTCTGCAACCATACTCACAACCCAGCATGAGAGCAGTTCTGAAATGGAAAATGAAAGATATAAAAAAGACTTTGAGAAAAATCCAAGGAAATATTTCAGAGATATTCTGTCAGATGTCAGAGGCCCCCTACTTAAGAACAGATACTACTTTTAGATAGATAGATATGTTCTAGATACATATTTTACTTTATATTATATTTTAACTTCATTGCATTTATAAAAAGATTTGCTTTGTGTCTTAGGTTGCAAAGCTAAAATCTTTTATCATCTCATATACTTTAATTACTTCTACTACCAAACTAACATTTATTCCACTTCAATATCCTACAGGTAAATAACCTCTACAAAAATCCTCCACAACTGATACTGTCACCCCATCTGCTCAAAACTCAACTATTCAAGTCTCTTCATGAACTGAATCACATCATACAAACCTTCCCTATAAATCTCTTCTCCTCCCAGAGAAGAATCAGATTCCATTTCTGATGTTCCTTGCTGCTTCTAACTGAAGACCTTCACATCTTGAGACTTCACTTAAGTTTCCTCAAATAAACTTTCCTCCACTAACCCCATGCAACATGGACCACTGCTTTATTCTGCTGTGATGGAACCAACAGCAC